AACAACAAACAACAACAATCTTGAAATGAAGTGCCGTGAAATAACTGGAAAGTCATTGACTTTCTTTATTTAACTGCTCGTCACCCAATCTGGCTCATTTCAACTTTTTTCCCTACTTCTCAAATACTCTCTACTACAAGTAGCTCAGTGCATAGCCTAGAGCCAGTTTCAGTTTCAGTTTAAACAACTAATAACCATGCACTATCGTGCGCCGGTTTGGGTTGTTGTCTTTTGGTTGTCCATTTGAATAGAACCAGATAAATTTAGTATGCGCATATACACCAATAATGATCGAGGTATTTTCACCAGTACATTTTCTTATAGTGCTTCACTATATTCCCTTTTTCCCTAACCTTCACAAATAGGCGATGTATTTGCCAATTTCTTACCGTTGACCTGATTTTCCACCAAGTAGTATCTCATACCATTAATTGCAATCGGAAACCGCGCAGAAAACTTAAAGATGACCGCACATTCCCGTGATGAAATGTGACCAATTACAGAGAGTGATTTGTCCAAGGGGCAGGATGATTTAACATGAGTGACGCCTATCACTGGTCATTTGCATCACAATAATTTCGTTGTTTACCACTAGGGGTACCAATCTGGAATGAAGCCAGACTGCTGTTGCTCTGAAATAAACCAGGTGACTTGGATATACAGACTACAGTTACTTGGAAATTGCACAATTGTGATTTGATTGTCTCATTTTTTGCGACTGGTATCCTCATTCACAATGTCCGTTTTAACCGATTATTCATCACACTGATTGATCATTAATATATTCACCGTGACATCACCGAATATCCATACTCAAACTCTACTATTGATTATGCAGTTCAATGATCACCAAACTGAAAGATAAATGTTGAAAATAAGAGAATGTAAGAAATCCAAAGTACATGATAATATACGCATGCACACTAACTGAGTTATTTGCGAACCTGATGAACTGGAAAATTCAGAACTAACTTTGCTTTTGGCTATCATAAAATATATAATGTTATAATCGCTGTCGAATGATTCACCTAGACATTGCGCACTTCTGCATGAATTAAAAGTAATTGTTCATTATTTCCCCAGACGGTAGTGTTCATTGGAAACCATGGTTTATAAAAAAAGACAAACTGTGATGTGTACAATTAAGAGCACAAAAGATTAAATTAATGTGAGATTCTAATCAGTATTATGTCAAGTCAATAAGCGCTCCGTGTCTATTGACCGATGCCACCATGCATCGTTCATTCATGCTGACAGTAGATAACTTTTAGCGCTTAATTACCTCTATCTTTCCACGTAATTTTTTATCTTTGAGTTTCAACCTGGGTTAACTGGTTACAAGACCACTGACTGACGCTTTCCCGAAAAGCGGATAGGGATACGATTCACCAGCTTTAATGCATGCCGGCTCAGACTCACTGAATTAGCGGCCGTAGGTGAACATCAGCAGCGTACGAGGATCTGACTGGTTTCGTTCAACAAGTATCCTGCTCTTTAAATACCATAGGAGTCTGAAAGCGGTACCGTGACGTGCAGAATGGGTCCGGCAACACATAAAACCCTCGCCTCTTGTCCTATTCAATTAACACTAAACTTTCCACAGGAGTTGACTGACCGAAACACCGATCACCACTTTGTCTGTAACAAGAGCACTGTCTTGCACGTTATGCTTGTTTTCGTAGGCTACAGATACAATCTTGAGTACGGAAGCCCGGTGTTGATGGTGAAGTAGCTTGTAATCATGTTCCCGAGGCTCTCACTGCTATATTTTGTTCCCTGAAGTCTACTTATCCTACAGTAAGTAAATAAATGAGGCCAATTTTGGTGGACGCTCACGATTTCATAAATGCAATCTTAAGCGTCCAGAGGATAAACTAGAATATTGATAATAGGAAGATTTGGTCTACAGACGTGTTATCATGACCAATCGTTGCGAACCTAATCCGGGGAAAGTGAAAACTATCTGAGTTCTACCGATGCCGACCGGATTTTATATGATCACCCACCAAGTGGAACCTATTGGCACAATATAAGGAAAAATACGGAAGTCAATGAAAAAGATAGATTTATATTCAACTTAGCTAGGATGTTTGATTCAAGTAGGATTGGTCAATATTTGCGCTTTTAGGAGAGCCGAGTGCAAACTGGCCTAATAGTTTCAGACTGATTACCTAAAGTTGTTGCATTAGTTCCATCGGTTCCTTAGATAGAACTAAATCACTACAGATCCGTTTCGGTGAGCAAACTTCTATCTTGTAAGCGAACGAACATACAAACTGAAGCCTTCTACGAATAAGCGGTTCGTGCGGTCTTCGTCCCATATATAGCTGTACATATATAGTAACTGATCAACAGACCTCAGTCACTTACCGACTTCTAACACGAGCCTCACTGTTAATATAATAGAATTGTACTCGTCTCCAAGAATTCGGTCGCGGGCTGGGTCGTAATTGCATTTCGAATGGAGTCAACAGGGCGTGAGTTGATTCACGTGAGCAACTTGTGAACTGCCCGGGGTATGTCGACTTTCTTCGTTTCAGTATGCGAGAAGATTTATCTGTTGATGGCGAGCGTTCCCTAAGTGAGTCTTGTCCAGCTGATGAACTCTGAAATAAGAAACATACAATAAATGAGTTATTTCATAAATTTCATAAAATTCGGAAAATTTACCCTAACCTCATGAATGTCACATAAGAGATCAAAGAAGCACAAAGCCATTTTCGAATTCACCAATTAAATGGGTTACCGTTCGTTCAACACTGTGATTTTTGTTTCACTTTTTCAGAGGACTTCTGAAACCTTATCATGGGAATACTGAGAGAGGTTTAATTAAGATGTGGCTTGAGAGTAAAGATTTTGTTGCAAGTAAATGCTTTTATTATTCCAACCGCTTCAATATCTAGTGACATTGCGCATAACGTCCCATGTTCATTCATTTCGATATGGTTCTATCTCAGACTATTACTTGAAAGCAAAGCCGATTTTGCCCCTAACCCAAGCAATACGTTCATTTCTAGAAGAAAAATGACGATTCTCAATTACAATTTCCTAACTGTGTTTGCACAACCATCTTGTCACACATTACAGGGGTACTTATCAAATCTAGTCAGAAGCACCTCTTGTCCGTAATATTTCTTGGAAAGCAATGTTTCTCCTAGTATTACCTTATTTTTTGAACCATTAACGATCAACGTTGCCAACTTTCCTCCGCAACCCTATAGTACTTTTTGTGGGTCATTTGCGCATGTCAGTGATCGCTATACCTGGGATGAGTCTGCTAGGCTCCGTCCATGGTCCGTCCTCCTTAGAAATGCAGTGTTTCATCAGAATTCCATAAGAAAAAAGACTCATCTGCTACAGTTAGAGGCTTTCAGGTGAATGAATTTTCCCTCTGAACGCCCTCCGATCGGTTGCTTAGACCACAAACCCGATGAACGGATAAAGTTAATCAGATCTAAAATTGTGAATTTCCGAGCTGATTCATTGTAATGTTTTCATAACACTGAATGCTAATTTCTTCAGATTTTCTTTTAATAGCAGCACTTAAACACCCTAACTTCTCGCTTACATTCAGAGGAACAATCATTCAAAAACTGTTTTCAACCCGTTTATTCCTATTAACTGGTTTCTGAGACCACATGTTTGCACTCAGCGGTTATTAACTACTTATGAGTACTGCAAATGTATTTGCAAACGGAATAAATGCGGAAACGATTTATCAGAGGCTCACGCCCAGCATATTGCTCCGTATTTGACATATCACAGCATTAGTTCTTCACCCATGTTGTGGTGGAAATAAGTTACAATATATATTTACTGTTTAGTTAACTTCTACTTATCTTCAGAAATTATTCACTGATTTGCAGATAAATCCTTGTGAGAATCAATTGGTGTGAAACGGGACGCAGTTAAGTATATTTTGACAAACCCATCTCATGTGAGTTTGATCAATTACCCGAATATTTTTTCTTTACAAAGTTTATTTCTCATATTTGATCACATCACCGGTTTGTCAAAGCCCACTTTGTCTGAACTCCTGATTCCCACGTTAGGTCATGATTGTTTGTACACCATATAGCGAAATTGGCCGCACTGCTGCAGTAATATTCAACCTCTCCACAGACAGCCGCATGTCGCGACGGAGCCAAAGAGGTCTCAATTTGGCAAATGCCAATCGAGAATTCTGTATACATACTGACACTTCGTCCGCCTACATTCGCCAGGTGGAATGTAGCTGCGCAAATAGCAAGATTTGTTCACTACCTATTTTACTCATCCAGTTTGAGTGAGGTTAAAAACTGAACCAAGCCAGTCCGGTAGCAAAATTTTCCAGTTTTTGACGGTGCAAAACGCATCCCGACCTTAATCACACCCGCACTCAAAGTATCCAGAAACGCTTGTGACTGACCAATCCTGGGGAATCGGGTTAGAAATAACCCGCTATATTGAGAAAGCTAAAATTTCAAGTTTCCTGATGACCTTAGCAAGACTGCTTTGAAAAAGATGGCTTTTCTAGTTTCAGTTTGACATAAATATGCAAATGAATTACGGTATGTTCGAGTCTATTATCTGGAGCAAAGTGTATCATACTTGACTGAAAAAACAATAAGTTATGAATCCTAACTTAGCTGAATTACATAGTCCTGCATTTTTCCAGTAACTTTTACTGCCCAAAAGCGCTCCAGTTGGTGAGGAATAATATCCATGAAAGCAACCGTTCGACGTTCCATTTGCTGATTACTGGTAAGAAATAACCCAGTTATTTTTGAATACAGTTCTCTCAAGTTTCAGAAGATTTTTTCAAAAGCTACTGCCAAATATTCTCACAAATGACACATTGTTTTTAATCCATGACTTCCTGGTCTCCCAATTGAAACGGCGACTGAAAATGAATGTTGACAAATGGATTTTGAAGCACTTTTCAGTCAGATGTTTTGTCTTCCCAGAGTGCAAACTGAAAACAAGCGATACAAAATAATAAAAAACACCCAGTTCTTGTATCACTGATCACTTACGGACTTTCTGTATTTGTCATCTTCATTCCACTGGAACGGATCATACTTGTCTTCCGCGGGTGTATCCAGATGAACATTGCCCTGAAACATTTTCACCATCAAGTACGGTCGGCTTACCACCCGATTCAAATGATCCAAATATTGACAAAACATCGCTTTTAGCTGTTTTCGTTTCACCGGGAAGCCGTTTTCCATTTGCGTGTGAATCCATTCCGCACTGGGTAGATATCTGAGCCGCTCCCAATCACAGAATTGCACTTCCACTTTTCTCTGTCTGGACAAATCATGTGTGTCAATTAGGCGGTCTGTGTCCGTTTGAATTTGTTGCTCTTCGTCCAACAGTGCCTGGACAATCGTTCGCACTGCACGCAGTTCGTGATCAGATTTGCGCTAAACGAGCATGACAGAACACCATCATCATCATCATCACCGGGTGAGATTGCGACCAATTTACCTGCAGATTAACAAACGCTTTTGCACTGATTTTATCCTTTAACGAATCCGACAGTTTAGCCAGGATTGTACTGTCAAAGTCGAGAAAATTTCGTGATGCATGCATCATTTGGCTAAAAAAGATAACAAGCAAACAACCGGTGTCACGATTATTTTTCCAAATTTTCATGATTTTTTGTTCTGTTTTCACTTGGTAAAACTGGTGGTACTTTGCGCCTTGTCGTTTTTCCAAGGATAAGCATACATACTCACAGAAATAAAAGAAACTGAATAAGTATATTACTATTATTATCATATTTCATACGCATTTGAGCCCAAACTGGGTGTGGTTCACACGCATCTTCTCGATTGGTTTTGAATCCGGGTTTCAGCCGACTTCCCTTAGGTAAACTGGCAGTCGTTCATTAACTCGATTATAGACCCATATGTTGATTTTTCGCCCTCTCACTTTTGTGAGAAAACACCTTCCCACAAGGAAGAAGAGGTTGGGAATTGATTAGCAGATGCTGGCCAAGAAGCTTAGGGATATAGGAACATGTAAAACCCTAATTAGCTGCAAATCAATGTAACCCAAGAAGCTTTTTAAGCTGAATGTTTGCAGAATTCTTTAAATTCTCTAATTAGAATTGTAGGTGAAACATAAGATGGCCAAACAAGAAGGACAAAATTAAGCGTGAAAACAATTGGATTAAGTAACCACAACAAATAACATTGAGTTTAAAGTTAGAAATAAATACACAAGGAGCAGTAAAACTTAGAAGCAAAAGCAGACTTGAGAGAGAGAGAAAAATGTAAATAGAAATTCCATACATTGACGGATGCCACTAGAAATAAGGAATATATAGGCAAGCAAAAAACACTGAATTTGATGGATAAATAAATAAGAATGAATAACAGTTTGGTCATTATGAGCACATCGCTACAGGCTGGGAATCAAACCTTATAAATTCAAACGACAACCATGCATGACAGGTAGAAGCAACTAATGATTGTCCGCTTGGCAGATCNGGCAGATCCAAGCGTATTGGTTCAGGCAGACAGGCAGAGAGAGGACAAAGCGTGAATAAATTGCTGGGAAGTAACAAAATAATTTTCGGTTAATCTTTGTTGTTTACTGCTTTTTTCCATAATTTCTTGAACATACACGTTAAATTCATACAAAAATGTATCATGGGACCTATCTCACGATGACTTCCGTCAGAGTCCGTACAGATAGTAATCTATTTGACGGTACAAACTTCTGTGGAGCCTTATAATATAAATTGCAGATACTTATACGCGTGTAATAAATATTGATGAAAGCTACGTACATATTTCACGTTTCAATAATATCTGTCTTAGTTTTACTTATCTTTGATCAATAATGTACCCCCAAATTATTCACCTGCCGATAACTAACTGTTTGCACTCTCCAGTACAGCTCGTGTAGACCCGTTAGGGTTGTCTGAATATCCCTTCGGTGCACCTTCACCAACCCCTTGAACAAACTCTTTTAAAACTAACACGGAGCTACCCTTCTATCCTAAGCTCTTTCAGAACGCCCTTGCTAAGCTCTCAGAGTGCCTGCCTTGCGGGTAAGGCTTTGGCTAGCCAAAGCCCCTGGCTGTGGATTCCTCAAGAGGATTCACCTGCCTCGACCTGAGCAACCTGGCACTATTCAGCCCACATGCAAATTATGAAGCATTTTCCTTTTTTATAAAGATTATTGTACCATTATTTGTTTGGCACATAGTTAGACGTGATATATATATATATATATATTCAGATCAATTCGGACCTCCCGCTACATGTAAGCATTTGTCCGTCCCAGTTGTTTTTGTCATTCTTCCTAAAAATGACTAGAGCTCTGCATATCGTTCGATTCAATAACACAGATAAACCCTATTTGAAGGAAAGTGCCATCACCCTTTGTGCCTGTATAACTATCACGGGAAATCGTGGTTTTGTAGACGGTTTATTCTTCATTTCAGTTGTGTTTGATTTTGAACAAAGCACCTCAAATAAAAAGAGGTGGTGTGTTTACAGACATGTCATGCAGACATGTTATTGTGTGAATCGTGTGTAGTAGTGGAATAATGGGAATAGGCACGGATTACGAATCACAAATCCCGGTTGCAAGTGGAGCACGGAATCGCACTGGCAACAGTATGCTGGGATCTTCTATCGCTGCGATACAGGGAAAAGGCCACAAAACTGGTGGTTTCCTTATTCAGAGAAATCCATGGAAAAATATTAGGTAAATATAAATACTATTGGTCAAACGAATATCAGCCAGTTGCTCTTCTCGCTCCTCGAGTCACACAGCTTCTGTTTGAACTGTGTGTCTGTTGACTGATAGATACTTTTAGCCTGTGATCCGATGTTCAGAAGCTGCAAAACGCAGCAGATTGATTGGCGTCATCTCGGAGGGTTGACTCACCACAAGTACCTCAAATAGTCTACTTGGTATGACAGTAAGAGAAAAAAGATTCTGACAATTAGTAGAAGGAAGCAGAGTGTAAAAAGGTGTGCTGCAAAGATTAATCTCTACCTATTCTATTCCTTTTAACAGCCAATAATTGTTAAACTCCACTCTAGTGATTGTTTGTAATACTTTCCGATATAGTTTGTTCTTCTTCTCTTACTTTCTTTCCATAGAGAGTGAACGTTCCCCGGCTGTAATCTAATATCCTTCCATAACTGACTGTCTCAGAAGACGAAACGCTAAATCATCCTCTGGTGCAAACTTTTTCAATGGCATCCAGTATACGGCCATGCCCAATGGAGAATGGATCGGCTTTGTGAAATTGAAGTGCAAGATTGCTGTGCAACGTGCGCGGATTTACTTTTTGTTGACCTGTATCGAACGTAGCCATTACCCAATCAGTTATTGCAAACGCCTACGGTGTGATAAACTTCGAACAACATCGAACAACCTGAAGCGATTAACCAAGTGCCACACTGAAGAATGCAAAGTCAAACTCTCACAACTTATCCCTGTGGTACGCAACGCTTCCAAAGTCATGGATCACTTGACTGTGGTGCCGCTCATCAAATCTACGAATTTCTGCTGTGAAGAGGTTCGTCAAACGCGTATGTATGAAATGNTGCAACTCGAAGCTTTATCAGTTGGTCTAAATTATTGTATTCAGCCAAGGAGGAGCAATCATATTGAATCTAAAGCAGTGTTTGAATCCTTTTTTTATCAGTTGTTTGTTTATTCAATCGACTCAACAGCATTCACCCCAACATCAAGCTAACTCGTCACGATGA